TCCAGAAAATATATATCACTCATTCTAGCCGCCCTTCTTTTGGGGGCCCTCACCGATCTATTCATAATTGTATTAAGCGCTTCTGAAATCGGCTACTGGTATTTTCATGTGTAAACAAATGTTTTACCTAAGCCTTTTTTCGCCTCTTCGAAGGGTTGGCTCGAAGAAAAGACAATTCATCTTGGGCCAGGCCTTTGGGCCCCTGGGCCTCTAACAAAATGAGCTTCTGTTATTGTTATTGTTATTGCCATTGCTATTGTACTGACTGAATCTCAGCTACTGTCTTTTTCTGCCGTTTCATCGTAATTATCATCTTGAAAAAGCGCTCATTACTCCACAGTGTGGTACATGACGAAAAAATCAACTTCGAGAAGAAACTGAAAAGAGAAGGTTGCCAACTAATCATTGTTAGAAAGTGAAGCTACCTGTTTCCGATAAACAAGTTACACGGGTCTCTCTTCAGGTGAGTTGATTGAAGAGTTCTGGGTAATTTTCAGCTGATAGCTTTGACCGAGGTCAGCGGAGAAGATTTCAAAACCCTCATAATCCTTCGCACCCTCAGTTCCCATAGTTCAAAAATCGTAAATTTCAACAAGATGCTCTGTTAAGCCACTCAGGCACTTGTCTCGCATAAATCAAATCCAATTTAATGGGCGGATGCACCAGCCCTAAGCCCAAGAGTAAACAATTCAATTTGGCAAACCCACAACCACCCTAACCACCACAAAATAGGGTATATAGATCACCCTTTGATAATCCGCATTTCCACTTTAAAAATCAATTGAGGCCCGCAGATCATAAATCAATAAACTTTCAGCCTTTGAAGTTACATTCCCAAAACCAAGCCGCTCCCACGCATTGTCGCTTTTTAGATTAAAGACTTTTCCAGAGGAAGCACAAGGCCAACGGTCGTTTGGTAACTCCCCGGGGGACAGGAAGTTCCTGGTCAACTATAAAAAACCCACACAACTGGCATGACAAGCAGGCGGCAAAAGGATACACAAAATATGGGTAGTTGAGCGTCACGTGCGCTTTTAATTGATTTTTCTATTTTGGCCTGACGATTTGCATGGGAACCCTTGGGTTTGGTTGGAAATGGTTTTCTTCGTTTCCCAGTAAAGGGTACGGCCGCTAATTACCAGGGAGCGACAACAAATATTGTGTTAATAACTATAAATTGAGTCAGATAGCCGAGCCCCGCTCGAACCTTAACCCCTTTCGATTTGCATAGAATGCTCTCGCTGTGAACTGGTCGGGTCTCCACATACCTGAAGGGCACTGGAGTGGAACCGGAGAACCTCAATGTAAATACGAATTTTATTTATTTTTACTTAGCTGCACGCGTTAATTTATGCTGCCTCCGAACAACGTCTTACCCCCAAACAGCAACCACATCCGAAAATTATACAATAAAATGTAAAATCAACTCGTTGCCTCGGTATCGTTATTGGCAATGGATATTTATACAAGCAGCTGGGCAGCCAACTCGAAACCACAAGAAAGTCCAACTTCCCCTCCCTGCTGACCCACTCGAAACCTGCAGACGAATCGAACCTTGTCAATCTGCCAAGGAGTGGATACCTTGGGTGGAATGAAGAACCCAACGACGGATTGGGGAGACAAAGAGACAGCCGGGCATTCCCGTCCAAAACGGAAGCAGTTAAGCTTTGAATAATTTATGAAAAGCCAGCCCAGACCCGAGAGCGGTGCCAAAGTGGCATATCAATTTGGCAAGATGTGTGCTTTTTAATTGATGGAAGTTGAAATTCCGGAAATAATAAAAATACAATTTCCACACTTCTTTTTAGAAGGGGACGAGATTATAATAAAGCAAGGAGTAAAGTATGAATATAAAATATTATTATTAAGTTTTGGTGAAAGTACTTTGTATACTTTTTCTACTTTTGAATATTGAAAAAAAAGGCAGGATAATTTTTCCAAAAATTTACTTTTTCCAAATCTTCAAAGAAGATTTAGTCTTTCAGTCTTTTTTTCGTTGATCCGAGATACGAGATAGCACTTTTGACTCAACGATGCAATGCCATTCAATCTTCAATAAAATATCATGGAAAGAGAAAAATTTAATTTGTGTTCAATTTTTGGCCAAAATCATGATGTTAACCCTTTGAAAATTTACGAAAATTTGTTCAGATTTTAGCTGGTCAGGTTTTGATGGGGAATGGTTCTACTTGAAGATCTAAGCTTGGGAAGGTATACCATTCATCAATCGGATAATTATTACCAAATCTATGGAATTTTCCTTGAAATAAATCCGGATAAGCTTGACTCTCTTAACCTCAAAGCATTCCACTGCAATGTTAGCTTCCTTACTTTAACTAAAACCCCGAACAGAAGGCACAAAATCAATCAGACACCATCAAATTAATATGCCAATGACAATTTATTATCCGCAGCCAATCGATTGTTATTGCTGTGCCGGTACAGTGGACACCCGAATATGGAGATGGGGACGTTGTGGTGTGGCCACTTCCTAATTTGGTTCCGCTATTTGTTGTCGCATACGCTTTTTTCCTCTTCGTGTATTTATTATTTAATTTGACGTTGGCCGGGCGAGTGGAATGCCAAGTGCCAAATGCAGCGGTCAATGCTTTGTATGCCAAATGCAAATGAGCTTAGATGGGCGGGGCGGGATCTATAGAACATCTATAGAATTCCCCGGCCAAGAGAATACAACCCACTGAGCTGAAAATGAAATTTAAGCTATAACGGATGTTTGATTTTAACCATATAATATTTGGAGTTAACTTCCTTTTAGGTGGGGTGTGACCAGCCATGTGACCTTCATGCCAAAATAATTTCTGGCTTTCTATTTCGAAGCTCATCTGCATACCTGCTCCTCCTACCACTCCTCCGCGTTGCCACCTCTGGGAGCAATGAACAGGCCCCAGGAACCGCCGAGAAAAACAACAAACGGCAAACAGTTTATGTCGAGCTAAGCACTAAATTAGCTCGCTTAGCTTGGGAATCACTCACTGTCGGTGGAAGAATGCTCGCATACCATAGCCTCTACTTCCGCCTCGCTTTGGGAAATGGGAAAGAATGCGAGCGACCGGCATGGAATTCAGATTCAGATTTTGCCCAGGTGCCTCCACTCAGGCTGTGGGAATGGGTCATGTTGGATGCCAGAAGTGCCACCAGCGAAGTGGGTTACATTTTCCACAGCCTGTTCACTGCCATAGTCTGTGGGTGCTGCCAATTGTCCGTGATGGATCCGCCAAACGGTGTTCCTGAGGAATTCAGACTGTGCTCCGTTAGCCTCCATTAGCTGAATTGCTAGATCCAAGTGTCTTACAGATTATTTTTATCTGGCCAAGTTAACAAGGGCCTACATGACTTGGGTGGCTTCATGGAACAGACAATAGCTTAGATTAAATAAAACGTTGCTTCCAAAGGTACACCTATAGATATTACCATTTAAATCAAACCTCTTAAATGTGAAGTGCTAAAAATTCCACTGGTTTGCGAGTCCGCCTCCATTAATTAGCAACTTAGGACCAACTCGTGGATGACTGGACTATTACTTACCGCCGTCCACAAAAGTGGCCCAATACACAAATGCACTTTGTTTACCTATACAGGCAATGAACTCTGTGGCGCTTTGAACAAAAGACTTAGGCACCGAACTTGGGGCGGGTGAGACGAACGGAATGCCAAAACTGGTTTTGGCCAAACCATAAACGCAATTCCATAGACCCAGCCAGTGCAATGGGCTTTGAAGACTTCTACGCATTGGGAAAACCTCGTCCCCCGCCATCGCCATCGCCAACCCCAATACCGTTTAGAAGTGATCCCAGTGCGGAGCAGGTTTCCGAATGGGTTCGTTCGACATGGGTATTGCCTGCGATGGAGTGGCGGTTGCTCCTTTTTCCCAGGCCCTGACAGGCTTAAACGTGTTCACAGACCCAGGTGAGTCATCTGCCGAGATTACGGTGCCAAACAGGTAAGAGAATTTCACAAGATTCTGCATGTTTCGGCTCAGACGTTCTTAGGTATTGATGCGATTCGATTGTTATTGTTTTGGTTCATTTTTCAGACAGCTTCTTGTGGTTTTGCGATTAGGGATTCATTTTCTGAGCCTGTCTAATTTTGGCATAAATTAATTTTCCTTAATGCGCCTTTTATGAATAACTCTTTGGGGTTAATTGGCCTTTTGTGTTTTCTCAGATCCAAGATACACACACACTTATTGGCGACCTTCTGCTGCCCAACCCCTCTTGGCTTGTTAAAAAATAAAATAATAATAACAAGAAACCCACATACTCTGTGACTAAAATATTTCACAACATTGTTCAAGTGCCAGATTCTTAGCCGCTTTTGTCGCAATGTAAATTAAGAACACAGCCGCAGACCATTTATGGTCCGGCCTGGCCCCAACCTCAACCCAAAGCCATAGTCGAAGCCGGAGCCAAACAAAAACCCATGCCCGTAACGTACCCAACTCAAACAGGTTTGCAATTAAACAACTAAAAAATTATTAAGCAAAATGAGTCTGAAATTAATTATTTATGCGCTGCTCAAGATAACACAAGACCAGCAACGCAGCCCCCGGTGGAGATTCAAGCCAAGTGGGCGTCTCCACTTCCTAGGCGCACTTCCAAGAACCCACAACCATAACTCGGCCCAAACGAAAGGCTCGAAAAGGCTGGAGCAGAAAACCGTTTACAGTTCAGTGATCACTCCCCCTGGAAAAGAACGCGTGCCAACTGGGCAGCTGCAGGCGCTGCATCAGTCAAAAAAATGGTAGAAAAACATTAAAAAACCGACACCCCGATCGTCATACACGAGTTCACAGCTCCAGCAACCCGCATAAATTAGACCCGCGATCAGGAGCAACTTCTATATAGGTATACTTCTATATATGCATTTATCGGGTAGATACAAAGCATTAAGTGCGACCCTGAAAGTATTACCGGCTGCTTTCGACCATGACACTTTATTTAAATTTCGCTAAAAATGCCGAAAGAAAAGGCCACCTTCAGTCTAGCTTGAAATTAACTTTACTCGCCCCCGAACTACAAACAATTTCCAATAATAAACCATAACCAGAATCAAGCAATTGTTATGTCATCTGTGTAATAAAGCCAAATGGAGGGCGGCGGGAGCTCCACAGTGCTGTCTTCCTCGTCAATGAGGCCATTCTCATCCAGGGTGCCATTCAGGTCTAGAACACTGCAGGTCTTGCCCTAAAAGAGCTTACATTATTCCAGAAGTAGTCCCTTGATCATAACATACCCCATTGGAGAACTTCCGCCACTCGTAGCTACCTGCATGATGGTTGTAGCGCTGCTTGTACTTCTGTTGGATATCGTAAATACTATCTTCATTGCAAACGGTCATGAACTGAGTGCGGCCAGTCAGGGTGTTTATAATTCGAATTACCCTTGGTCGGGTAGTGACCCTGCCTATATGATAGAAGGGGTCCTGGCTCCACATGGCTCCCTTCGTCTTGGAGAATTCCGAGATGGCCACCTCCAGAATGGGTGGAAAGAGGACGCGGGGCCTGCCTGTGCTGGGAGAGATCTCCGTGCGAGGCTCTCCATTCTCGTGAAAGAAATGTGTCAGGTCCTTGCCAGCATGCGCCATCAAATAGTCCAAGTTCTGAAAAGGATAAGTTCTTAGACACAGACAGAGAAGGTTGTCGAAGAACCTACGCGATTCCAATGATCCGTGCGATCCTTTAGCATTTCCGTCAGATCAAAGACGTTCATGTGTATGATCACCCAGAAGTCGTCCTTCTTGTTGTGGCCGACAACCTCATCCTTGAGATAGTATCGCATTCTCTTAATCGGCAGCTCCATTTCAGAGATTTCAATCGAAACAGGCCAGAATGAAGTGTAATTTAATTTAACCGACAAAACTGTCGCCCTGTCTTGACTCGGCCCATTAATTCTGACTTTTCCGGCGGTGCCAACTGCTCATCATCATTTTCTAAAGCGATCCCGACGAGCAGGTCTTATCGCCGGACTAGCATCTCTATATCTGGCAGACCAATTAATTCCAGCTGCCAGAGTACGATCCAAGATCCCAAGTTCTCATTCCTGGTCTGGTTTTCGGGATGCCATTGCATAATTAGCCGCCAATTGTCAAGTCGTCGCCGCTCTGGGCCTTGGCCCATCAATCGTTTGCCATAAATAGAAAAAATTAGATTAATGACTGGTGGCATTTTTCGTCTAACCTCGGAGGTTAAAGGCACTCCAAAGACATTCTTATTGATGGGAGCACTGTCAGCGGTTATTTAGAGAGCACTGCACTTTGAAATATTTGCCTCCTGGGTTTGCAGTTGAGATCATTCAGCTTTTTCAAGTCAATGAAATACATTTTTCATTGTTTGTTTAAGGTTTTAAAAATAAAGACCGTTAAGAGGTAAAGTTAAGACCTTTTTAAGAGTTTCCTTTTTAAGTTTCCTTTTTAAGAATAATAATAGTTTCCTTTACAAAAGTGTAATTTGTCCCAGCTGCCTCCCAAAAAAAGGGTTTAATTCCAAACTGAAAATGTTGAAGCCCTTTTCCTGTCCAAGAATAGTTTCAGTTTTAATTTCTAGAGTCTAGACTCTAGACTGAACTTTGAACTCTCTACCGAAAGGTAACTAATGGACACACGTGATAAAATCAACTTCCGCAGGATTACAATGTCGGCAACCTGGGGGTCGGTCACCTCAAGGCTGACCCTGCCACAGCTGCCGCATTTCGTTGCGCATGCGCAGACACAGCAGTCGAGGGATTTGCCATGGAAACTCCTTTGAGTCCATAAACAAACTGAGGGGCACATAAAAGGGTAGCTGCCTAGAAAAGGATATTTTGTGGCTGGCATCTCGTATTGCAATTATAGGGCATATATACCAATGGTGCTAAAAGGATTTTCTGATACTCAGTGTTTACTTTAATTGCTCGCCACGCGTCGCTCTAAGTGGCTTTTAATATTGGCTTTATGGCAGACTGTGTGATTGCCGCGGCAGCTGTTTGTGGATTCGAGGATTGCGGGATTGGTGGAAAGCCGCAAACGCCATCCGTCTGCAATTATTTTAGGCGTGGCCTTGTCCCAAATAAATTGCAACCTTTTCGCCACAGCCGCAAAAGGTAACAGCAGGACCAACAATAATGGCCACAAACATGACAGTTAATCACGCAATGGGAAAGTTAAAAATCAACAGGAGAATACAAATAGAGGAATAATATTTTTTTAATATTCTAAAAAGGATATTTGTTATTTTCACAGGACTATAATTTATGCATTTTAAAACCCCCAAATAGGAAACCACTCTCTGCCACAGGAAAAAGAAAATTATTTGTCAATTATTTTCCTCAAAAAAGGATACTAAAATTCAAAATAGCCAGCTGCAACTAGGAAGTTATCCCCAGGGAAACAGGGCTTGGTAGTGGGTTCAAACATGATCCAGGACTCATTTGCATGGGTGAAAAGTGGCAGTCCAGTTGAGGGTGCGAGTCCTGCTAATTGACTCCAAGTCAACTGTGAAGCTGCACATATGTCGAAAGGAACAAGGACTATGAGCCGAGGATGAGTTTTCCTTTCGACATTTTCGGTTTTCAATTTGTTTGCTCGTCGGCTCGTTTTGATTTAATGGGATTGGTAACAGCTGGTTGGCCATTTGACACGCCACTACTGGTGGCAACGATCTCTGGCCAAGGAGTTCTGCCGTTGCAGCTGCCTTTGTGTCTTGGGTCAAGAATGCGTGTGGCAGGCACAAGCGAGGGGCACAATGCTGGCGGGGTAAATAAACCGGAGGAGGACTAAAACGGGAACTGGAATTGTAAAGGCTGCGGGCAGAAAACAACCCCAACCGAGGTCCCAACCCCTACGCACCACCAATAACTCAAAATGAACCAAGTGTGTCACGCGCAGTCGCAACCGATGGAACACTGAAAATTTTATTCGCAGCCACAAAAGAATACTATATTCTCATTTTTTATAAACATGCCCCTAAGACCTTATATTAAATTCACTTTTTGAAGTCGAGACTTTTCTCAGTGTCCTGGCAGGGACCCCGTTTGCAACTCAATCACCGGATCCAGACTCCAACCCCGATTTACAGTCCCGAGGCCCCGTTCCCGTTACAAATCGAACAATGGTCCGGGCTTTTGAAAACCCATTAAGTGCGTTCTGAAATATAAATAAAAACTAGCAGAAAAATACTTTGTTGATGTAAATGACAGGAAGTGTGCACTTGAGAGCCAGCATCGTCCCCCAGAGGCTGCAATTAAATACAAAAAAATAATAAGTCCACAATGGCAAGTTTAGCGGAAAAGTGTGACAAAAACAACTGCAGCTGCAGATATGCATTTATTTTCTGATTTTTTTTTTGTTTACTCTCACTCTTAATCATTCCAATTGCAATTGCAATTTCAGTTGTCCATTGGCAATTGGCAATTGTAATCTGGATATAGCCGTATGCGTAGGCAAACGAGTTGTCTTTGCGATTGCCTTGACACGTCGACAGAGTGCGGCGCCAATTTATTTAAATTCCACGATTAAATCGGAATATTCAAGTTATTTTTGTCATACAACAAGCTCACTGAATATTAAGTATAGGACCATAAAGAATACAAGTACACAACTTCAAAACTGAACTGTCTACAAATTTATGCCATAATCCAATTATAAAAAATTGTCACAGTAATCTATCCCTATTGTTATCCTGGAATAATACCCTTTCATTATGCTCAGTATGCCCTAGACACACTTTATTCTGTACCTGAGGTTCAAACAATTAAACACCACCACAGGGTGGTCACATTATAGTCAACACCCTGCCTAGACCAGACTCTTCAAAATTCAACAGCTGACGACGACCCTTGTGTATCTGAGGGTGTATCTATGAGTTCCCGAGAATCGTCAAAATTATTGTATAAACATGCAACTAATTGAAAAGTGTGCCGTAATTCATTAGAAGAGCGATACAATCAGGGAGATATCCAGCCATATATAAGATATATGCTGCATGTGTATCCGACCAACTGTTAGTGTCCTTTTTGGGGGAGGAAACGATCTGTACTAGTTGCTTTAGGAGGCGTTGTATCTGTCAGGATGCTGTTCGAGGGGTTGCAGATCGCTTTCGACACAACTGTTCCTATTTCTTGGCTGACTTATCCGGCTGATCCTGTTCAATGCGCCGGCGCAAAATCTATTTATTCAAATAATACTCGTAAAATTGCCAACATATGCAGCACATCGTTAGGTTTTGCGCTATTCAGGACCATCTGGACTAGGCATGAATAAACAGCATCTGCCAACGGAACTAAGATTCACACGATTCTAGGTTTTAGCTTTTAAATTTAATGAAAAATCATTTACAAACATGTTCTTGAAGTAAACCTAAAAACCTCATAAATATGTAAAAGTAATGATACAAAATATTCTCTTTATTCATCCATTTCGGCCGCAAGTGCCCTTACACAGCTTACAATTAATTCGCTCTTAACTGAATCCATTGTTCTGCCGATCAGCCCGAAACGACCTGGCTTATACAAGTACTACCAATTAGTGCTCAACACCTTGGCAACAACAATAACTGCAAAAATATAAAATGCAAATGCCAGTACGACCGGCTCGAAAAAAATAGAGCCAAATTGCATTATGATTAGCCATTATTTAATGTCGGCGGTAGTTTGTCATAGAGTGGCATGCAACATGCAGTTAGATTTAACTCTAACATTGCATGTCGGAATACAGAAGGCAGAATACAGATTTGAGTTGGGGGCGGCCAAGCCCAGACCTGGGTTTAGGCCCAGTTAACAGTTAGCTGCCAGTTACCAACAGCCTCAGACAAATGGCGGCAAAGTTAACAGACAGCAAGCGACTCGTCTCGTCATCGTTGCGACATTGCAAGGTCGCTGCTGCTGATGTTGCAGTTGCAATAGCAGCTCCCCAAACGACAAGCTTCCTGCCATTGAAGCTGGCTAATTGAGGGTCTTGTTCCCGCTGCTACACAGAAAGAAATAAGGGGATTAGTTTACTAAATAAAAGTTGTTAGATTCAAAAGTTAAAGTATCTGAATGCATTTCACTCTTTGAATGAAAAGTTCATTCTTCTTTTGTAACTTTAATATTTTTCAAAATATTTTTTTTATCTGAAATATTTTTAACTCTGTAGTTATTGGGACTACCTCTGCTGTTGCACTTTTTTTTCATTAAGCTAAATTCCTTTTTGGCGTTTCACATTGTCGTCGTTCATTTCTTATATTTTATAATCGTCTCGGCGGCACATCCGGAACCAGTTTTATCCCCACATAGTCCCCTTGTGGCCCTGTTTGGTCGCCTTTTTGGGCAATTCAATTAAACTTTTCACTCACTTAGTTAATATGATTACCGTTATTGCTCTCCAGAGTTGAAGCCTGAATTCTGAGGCCAGAATTTTGCTTCAGCGGCTCGAAGGCTTTTGATGATGCTTATTTGCTGTTTCAATTTGCTCCTCAGCCCGGTTCTGTAAATATTTTTATTGATATTTATTGAATTTCTCTGCTGCGGCAGTTAATGGGGTTCTTAAAACAAGTGGGGAGTTTATTTCAGGAATATTTCTCGAAACAGTTCTGTGGGAGACAAGTTTCATTTCATTTAAGTATACATATTAATTCTTCTAGACGCCTTGATGTCTGTTGTATTTGAAGAATTATCTCACACCAAATGGCGCGTTATCCAAAAACAAATTACTATTGCAACATTTGCTTAAAAAATACAAAAAAAAAGGAGAAATAATCAACACACTTTGCAGCAAAGCCAAATAAAACCAAATGCTTTTTGTTTATTCGAAAAAGTGTTTGAGCACGCGCCAAATGGTTCAATGAGCTCAATCATGATGATATTCCCCCTTCAAGAAAATATATAGAAGGTCTGGTATTCGGAACTTACTTTATGGACCAGCTGCCGATGCTGGCACTAACT